AATGATAAATTGCTCTTGGCAAGCTTGCTAATCCTATATTAGCAGTAGGCTATAAATACGCCACCATAAGTCCTAGACTTAGAGTAAATTTTTATAGAGAGATAAGCAACTCTGATTTATATAATACGGATAATATTATAAGACACACCTCAAGATAAGTATTACTCGTGATTAAACTTACTAACAATATGACTCGTATAGAAGATATAGAACGTCCATTTCAACACCATCTCCCACCTAGAACGGAAGCTATAACATATGTTACCGAATTAGGGATATACATCAACCCAATTATAATGACCTTAAAATTGTAAGGATCTTTAGCATATGACCAAGAGATGGACATATTCAAGAAAAAAAGTGTCATGAATGAAATAGCAGAATATGCAATGACCAATGCAACTGGAGGATGAGATAATAGAATAAGACTATGAGTTGGACGAATGAATAGATCGTACAAAGTATGTTTGGTAATGGCCCATTTAAATTTAGAAGCAGATGGTTGACATTTTTCATCTTTATCTTGTTCAAATCTCAGTTTTGATATTTGAAGGTCTTCTTGAAGAACCTCAGCTGCCAATCTTCGAGAATATTGAGACATATTGGTTGACAATATTGACAATGAAGGCATTACTGGATCAAGAATTGCCGATTCACTATCAAAACAAAGATGTTGATTTTGAAGGACCTCATCATAGTTTGATTCTAGGTCTTTGTTCAAACACCTCTGTTATCCTTTATGCTTTTCCTTCAACAAAGCTTGTGGCTTCCTAAGAGTTTCAGGTAGTAATAACAAAATACTCATAACATTGACACCTGAAACAATAGCCAAAGACCATTGAGTAGCTCTCCAACCCCAAACTTCACCAACAACCCCTCCAATGATAGGTGCGGAAAATGGACCAAGAAGAGGTCCTAAATAATATAAACCCATTGCTTTACCCATTTCTTGTTGTACGAATAAATCACTAACTGTTCCAGCACCAACTGCTTGTACAGAAGCGGAACAGCCATCTTGAAGTACTCTGAGTCCAATTAATATTGATATATTTGGAGCGAATGCTGCGCCCACGCTGAAGGCAAAGAATAAGGTAAAACTAACCAAATAAACTGTACGACGTCCATAACGTTCCAGAAAGCTACTCCACCAAATAGGGAAGATCCCTAAAGATAATGAATACACTCCAACTGAAACGTTGACCATTGTTTCATCAGTGTGAAGATCTTTAACTATGTCACCGATAGCAGGTAACATAATTGAAGTACCAAATGTGTTGAAATGGACGTTCTATATCTTCTATACGAGTCATATTGTTAGTAAGTTGAATCACGAGTAATACTTATCTTGAGGTGTGTCTTATAATATTATCGGTATTATATAAATCAGAGTTGCTTCTCTCTCTATAAAAATTTACTCTAAGTCTAGGACTTATGGTGGCGTATTTATAGCCTACTGCTAATATAGGATTAGCAAGCTTGCCAAGAGCAATTTATCATTGTTCGTTATTCCACGTGACTAGCTATCATTTAAAATATCCTGACTCACCTATACGGGATATTTTAAATAACTCAATTTAGGATTTCTACAATATTCTCTCAGCTATTTGTTTGCAACCAACAGATTACATAATTGTGTC